CGCATTTGCGAGGTCTGTTCGGGCGGGATTTTCTGTGCCGACCCACATTTTGGCGGTTATTTTGCGGGTCAGGGCTTTTTGCGGGGTCTGCTAGAGATGCTATAAGAGGCCGGGGGAGAAAACCACACCTGCCATCCACGAACCACGAGTCAAGCACACGATTCACCATCTTTCAAATGTCGCCGATGCAGACCACAATCTGCATATACCTCCCAAGTTTCGCGTCGACATTAGAGCAAAAGCCATCGCAACACGCCCGAGAACACAGGTCCACCATGAGGATGTCGTCGTCGCCACGTCATCCTTACTTGAACAGACTGATTTCCAAATTCATCCCCAACCATAGGACCGATCGTCTCGTCGGAGTAGGATCTAAAGAAATTTTATTCAGTGCCGCCATCGCCGCCGCCAAAGCCAAGATGATGAACAAGCTAAAAACCTAAACTACGAGAGTAAAAAATGATCCACACACGTGGATCTGGCGACCTCCCTCACCACCGACGACTAAGGTCGCCGACAAAGGGGAGCCGTCAGAGGGCAGCGGCGGGGGAGACTCCTGGCAGCGAGACCGTCTTTTGTTTCTTTTTTTTAACATCAGTACAGACACAAGCGCTCATATACACGTGCATACACTCATCCCTATGAACGCACACACGCACATCCTACCCCTATGAGCATCTCCGAAAGATTGATCCGGCATATCATCTTGAAATTTACGAAGTCACCCTAAGCACCTCGTCGTCGACGGGAGCGTCTCCTCCCACTGAATGCACATCGCCGAAAATTCTGAAATAAATCCAGGAATAAATGCGAGCACCAGGATTTGAACCCTGGTGGGCTGGAGATACTACAGTCTCTCTAACCATCCAACCACAGGTTGGTTCGCAGATCGTCTTTTGTTTCGCACGGAAGAAAGAAAAGCGGACATCTCTGCACATATCACACATGTACATTTTAATAGCAGATGTACTCCCTCTAAAAATCAACGTAGTAATTTTGACAAACATTGAAGAAATCAACCGAATTTCCCTTGCCAGCCTTCGTGTGACCTGGCACATTTTTTTCTTTTCTTTTTCGGAAAACGCTATTCTTCAACCGGCTAATGCACGCGCGAGCGTCCGCCTCTTGTGTAGCCGTCAGATCAACCATGACCAAGCGGCCACGTTGACCACAAGTCAGTCCCGCGCGGTCAGTCTTTTTCTTGCAATAAGGGTCTTGTTTCAGTAGATTTCTGTAACAAAGGTCTTATTCCAGAAAGAAAGAAAAAATGATTCAGTGGTGAAGATTTTTTTTTTGCAACTGGGGTCTTGTTTTAAAAGATTTCTGCAACATATCTTTTGTTTCAGAAAGAAAAGAATTGTTTCGGTTGTGAAGATTCTTTTCTGCAACAAGGGTATTGTTTCAGAAACATAGCCCGAGTTCCAGCGCCGGAGGAGCGTCCAGTATTAGCTGTTTCAGAAATATAGCTCTGGTTGCAGAAAACGCCGAAGAAGCGTCGGGCGTGAGAGGTCGTCGCCGTTGTGCTGGATTGGAGCTAGCAGTTGCTCGCAGGGCCGAGACGGAGGAGGAGAAGCAACTCCGGCGAGCACGGCAAGGACTAGTTCCCCCGCACGCCGGCGACAACGATTTTGTGATGGTGGGGGCTGGTGCCGCGCTGGGCGCAGCTGTGTCAGGACGACGGACAAGGGAATCTGTTTTCGAAACTGAGGGGTTGTTGCAGGAAGTAAGGAGGTGGTCACGCGCGTGCGGTGGTTAGATCCGACAGTTGTTAGAGGGCTGATCCAACAGAGCTCCATGCGACGAATGTTTCTAATATATCCGCCGGCGGACGCATAGCGGCTCCCTTCTTTTTTTGAGGGGTGGCACATTTTTTGTTGGAAAATGTCACGTGCGATGGGCTTATACATGATTCGGAGGATATTACGGCCTTTTATGTGAGGTGGAGTAAGTATAGTATGGGGTATTTGTTTCGAGGGATTTTTTAGTGTAGGGACTAGAAAAAGTCTCTCTTAGAGACTTTTTAACCAAACATGAGGGACTACTAGAGACTAAAAGTTAATTTTTGGGACTAAATGAAAAAGACTCTCAAGGAGAGTCTTTTTTAGACTTTTTCAACAATGCCCCTCCCTGCATCCATTGCCTCGCCACCCCATGATGTTGTTTGGTTATTATTTTTCTGTATACTAGGGGTAACATGGTCTTTTACATGTCATCTAGGGAGGGACTAGGGACTTTTTAGTCCCTGAAAACAAAT